CTCATGCCACCACGTGGCTCTGTGGGGCTGGGAGGTAATGACAGGGTCTGAGGAGGAGCTGTCAGCGTTTCCTTTGTGACAGCTTGTTCCCAGCTGGGCTGCCAAACAACTAGGGTGCTGAGTTGGCACCCTGGCTGCTCCCAAGGGCCCCCAGTTCTCAGGCCCTTCCAGGTCCTTCTCTCTGCAGGTCCACCTGGAGTGGAAGGGCAGGGCCTCCTAACTGCTGCAGCTCTCTCCCCAGGAGAGCCAGAACCTCTTCTGCTGCCTGTACCGCTCCTGGTGCCACAACCCAGTCACCACGGTGTCCCTCTGCTTCCTTACCCAGAACTACCGGCACGCCTATGACCTCATCCAGAAGTTGTATCCTTTCTCACACTTCGGTTTGGTAACCAGCTGAGAGATAGGAGGGGGCCTGCCATACTCCTGCCCCGCCCTCCCCTCTGACTCCAGGGCTGTGTCACCTGGGCCACCCCACCAGGGGCACCGTGAGGGACGTGTTGGAGAATGCTGTTTGCAGCGAACGGCCATCTCAGAGCCGCCTTCACATCACAGCTAGCACCACTTCTGTGCAGGCTGAGAGGATGGGCAAGCCCCGGGAGTAAGACCACGCCGGGCTGCTGCAGGAAAGCCTAGGTTGGGTCTTCAAGTTGAGCTCTGCTGTTGGGACCTTCCAAGGCCACAGAGCCAGGGCCTGGGAAGCTCCGCGGATGACCCAGGGAGAGAAAACAGGCTGGACAGGAAGCTTCAAGAGGGGGAGCCCGCGCACACCTCAGTACCTGCCTTACTGAAGACCTCCATGGCCACGGCCAGGTTTTCTTTAATGGTGAAAAGCAAACTAACCTCTAGTACGAGCCTGAGGTGTGACCGTGGATCAGAGCTTTATTTAGGAGGCAAAAGTGGCCACCTTCCTCATGGGCCAAGAGCTAGGGGAGGAAGGAGGGACGTGAGGTGCTTCAGTGGAAGTCAGATGTGGCTGTGACTGGCTCCCTTCAGGGTGTCTTCTCTCCTTCCACAACCTGAACTTTCTCCTCTTGGCCACTTGTGTGACCTAGAGACAGGGAAGCCACTGCCCAGCTTCACTGCTTGCTACAGCCCTGACACTGGCCTGTGATGGGCTGTCCTCTCAGAAACAGGGGCCTTTCCTGCCCAGCCCTCCCTCTGCAGACTGCAGGACCACGATAAAGAGCCTCTCCAGGCCCAGTACCACTCCTGGTGCCTCAACCCAGTCACAGGGCAAAGAGAAGAGAGCTGCCCGAGGGGAACCCGAGCACCCACACAGGAGGAACAGACAGGCAAAGAGAACAGAAGTGTCCTTTGTATGCCAGATTATGGCTAGCAAGAGCCAGGCTCTCCCAGAAAACCAGGGCCAAGTAGGAGGGATGCATGGAGCTCTGAGCTGGGGCTCAAGCCCCTGCGGCCCAGCCTCTGCCGGCTCTTGGGAAGGTATGGCCAGCCTGGCCCGACTCTACAGCTCTGCTGGCCCACTGGGAAGACTTTTCCTTGACTGTTCACCCAGTGGGGACCTGGAGGTCACAGTGGACTTCCTCACCGAGGTGGACAAACTGGTGCAGCTGATTGAGTGTCCCATCTTCACATGTAAGGCTCCTCACTCTGTCACTTTCGCTAGCTGGCCTGGAGTAGGTGGGGTGGAGCCAAGCCCAGAGAGAGACTCTGGGCTTAGTCTGCGGAGGGAGGATCATCCTAGGGATGCTTCTGGAATGTCAAGAATGTAAGGCTGTGTATGACCAGGCTGAAAGGCCAGCTGGAGCAGGACTGGGGCACATGGAGTTAGAATTTGGTCCTGCCTCTCTTCAAGGTGGGTCTCATGGACATGGTCCAGTGCTTACGCAAACCCACCTGAAGGTTAATATCAGGCCGTGACCCAGGGCTGTCCCCAGCCACCCATCCCTATAGCATGCGGCCCTCCGCTCTGCATTTCTATAGTTGTGGGGTGCCCAGGCAACCCTGCCAGTTTTCCTCTTTGCCCAGGAGCCATGCCCTCCTCCCTGAAAGAAGAGATGGCTGTAGTAGGAGCCAACGGGCAGGAGCTGCCTGCCGAGTAACACCCCAGCTAGATGTGCTAAAGTGGCAGCGGGCGGGGTAAGCACAGCTCTTGGCACCTCAACACAGGCATTGCCTACTCCCCGAAGCAGGCCACACTCTGAGTGACACACATGTGGTAGAGAAGCCAAGGGCAGCCCTGCCAGTGGCCACCTTCCAGGCCATGCTGCCTGGGCTGGCAGCACCTCTGGTCCACCCAGCCTAAGCCATCAGCCCTCATTCTGGAGCCCAAAGCAAATGCAGGGGCTCAGGGCTTCCTCTTTTCCATTCAGAGAGCCAGCTTCTCAAAGCAGCAGGTCCAGTGACCCAGGTCCTAGAACAAGAAGGAGACCTGTTGTCAGCAGAGTGCCCTGCAGCTGTGTCCCAAGTGGGCCCTGGCCTGACATCTCACTTCCTAAGGGTTCCTTGTGGCAGACCTGTATCTGAGGTCAGGTCCAGGCTAACCCTGGAGAAGCCATCAGCTTCCGCTCCTCAGCCAAGGACCTCTGTGGGCAAGACATTGACAGCAGAGACGCAAGCCTGGCTTTGACCCGTACCCATCCCAGCTGAGTGGCCTGGACCCTGCTGGTGGGTGGCTGGCTCTGACGCAAGGCAGTCCCAGCTTCCCCAACTCCCAATGGAGGAAATGACTCAAAACTGTCCCTTGCTTCTCTAAAGCCATGTGGATAGTAAACAGGTTTCCTCTGTTGATCACCAGTCAACACAGAGGACTCCTATGACTCTGACAGGTGTGGGAATTCCTCCCCACCAGCAAGCAAGCAACATGAAGCAGACACCAGCCAGACATCCGACCAATCCAATTCAGTTCTGAAACTGCCTGAAGACAGCATCAGATCTCAGATTCCCAAAACTGACCCCCTTCACTTCAGATGCTAGTCACAGGCCCCAGGTTGCTTTCATTGTGCTTCTGACCAACTGGCTACAATGCAGCCTTGGGTTCGGTTAATTTGTTGGAGCATCTCACAGAACTTGGGGAAACATGCTTGCCAATTACTCCTAAAGGGTATTCCAAGAAACACAGATGAGGAGCCACGTGGGGTGAGGTGTAGGAAGGCCATGCCACCCTGCAGATACTTTTGTACATCCCACTATCCAGAAGCTCTTGGAACCCAGTCCTTTGGGATTTTATGGAGGTTTCATCACTTAGCCATGCTTGATTAAATCACTGGCCGCTAGTGATCGACTCAACCCTTAGTCCTCTCCACTCCTGCCTTTCAGGTTATCAGCCCCATCCTAAAGCTACCAAGAGCCTGTCTGCCATCAGGTGCCTCATTAGCATTCAGAAGGAAGTGTGTGCCAGGACACTGGGATGAATACCAAATGTGTATTTCACAATATCAATAGACCAGGCCTGGGGACAATTGTCAGGTCACCATTTGTGACTTCTTCCTGGAAGGACTGTGGGAGGCCTCTCTCCTACTTCCTGGCTCCAAGGACTGGCTGTTTAGTCCCCCAGTGTCCCACCGGCCTGCTGCTGGGTAAGCATGGCCACTCCAAAAAGATGTGGCTTGTCCACAGAGGGTGCCTGAGATGGAGTTCAGAGACACAGAAAGGAGAAGCCAGTGATCCTCCTGCACAGGCTCAGAGGAGAGCAGCAAAGGCCTGCTTCCAGGCCAGTCTCCCCTTTGGGCCTTAGGGAAGCTGGAACTGCCTTGGAATGCAGCAGGCCACCGGTGGGCACCCCAGGTCAGAATGGGTGCTGGGCAGGGACCTCTGGGAGGTCGTAGCAGCCTGTTTCTGAGTTAAATATTCAGAAGCACCTCCCAGACACTGCAGGCTTGGCATGTGCCTTGCTACACACAAAAGCTTTTTCCCATCCTGCCCTCCCTTAAAGCTGTCCTAATCCACTGTCTTTCTTTCCAGCTCGCCCTATTTATAGCTCACGTGCTGGCACGTGCAGAACTGACTGGGGAATCTGTTACTCTGCAAGCCCCCGACCTCTTATTACCAGGGAGGCAGATGAGCACAGGGATGGGGGGAACAAGCAGTAGGTTTGGGGGTCCTCAGACCAAGAGGAATGCTGAAAAGATGAGACCAGCAGGTGGACAGGTGGGAAGAGAAATGAAATCATAGAAATGGCTAAGGCACTTCCGGAGGAGGGGGCAGGCCTGGCTGGCTGTGGAGGAGCCCCTGACTAGATCTAAGCCACAACTGCTCAGCCAGCCCCTGCAGGCTGAGTCCATAGTACCCGGGGTGGCCCTCTCCCAGCCAGGCTGGGCAGAGGATCTGGGCCGCATGTATTTCAGTTTCATAGTAGCTCCAGAATCCCTCACCTCTGACCCCTGGCCTCTGCCCTCTTCCCTGCCACAGATCTGCGCCTGCAGCTGCTCGACGTGAAAAACAACCCATACCTGATCAAGGCTCTGTATGGCCTGCTCATGCTGCTGCCCCAGAGCAGTGCCTTCCAGTTGCTTTCTCATCGACTCCAGTGTGTGCCCAACCCCGAGCTGCTGCAGACCGAGTGAGTGCTGGGCCAGGGGCACTGCCCTCAGCATCCATGATGGCTCCAGGGGGGAGATACACAAGGGACCGCCTAATCTCCCTGCCTCAACACCCACCCCTTTGTCACTATGGCCCCATCCACCCACAGCCACTTGCCCTTAGCCCTTAGGTCCTGCAGAGCCCCAGGCTGGGGGTTTCTGGCACTATTCACAAGGTGAACAAGTAGCAGGGTCTTCTCCATGCGGGGGTGGGGGCACTTAGTGAGACCAGGACTCAGTCTAGGAACTGAGAGTCACCGAGTAGAAGCCCCTGGAGAAGAGCTCCAGGGTAGGGGAATGAGACAGACAGTGCAGATGGCAATCAGACCAGGAAGCCAGAGAGAGCCCAGTGGTGGGCACCCCCCTGGCCTCAGACGGCCATGCCAACCCATCTGCAACACAGACTCAGACCTGGGACACAGAGACCCCAGCATCACTGGGACCTTCCCGGCAACATACCTGGTGGGACGGGAAGCGAGGATGCACCCATGGCTACCCTGCTGGGGTCCTGCCTGCAGGAAGAGTAGGTCTCTGAGAGGCCCAGAATGGCATCCTCTGGGCAGGGGGGTCCACACTCCCACCCTGAACCCACTGCTGGCCCTGGCCCCAGAGCCTCTTGGGCTGTGTCTATATTTGGTAACCCTTGGAGGCTTTGCCTCATCCACAGGCATTTGGCATCCGAGATGGAAAATTTCACTTGTCAGGTCACCATGGAAACAAGCAGAGCCACTGAGAAGATTTACGCTGACTGGAGCGCACCCAGCTTGCATCAGATGCCCTGTGTGTCTAGAATCCCCCTCGGCTGTGCAAGCCACTCGGCAGGCCCGGCGCCTTGCTCCAGCAAAAGACTTTGGGCATTTGCCCTTGGGGTGGACGTAGGCAGCCTTGGGGTGGACCTGCCAGACTCAGACCTTGACCAAAGTCCTTATGCCCTCAGGACCACTGGGCTTAGTATCCTGCCACCTTGCCCCAGAGCCTGGCCTCCCCAGAAGCCACGTGGTTGACACCTGATAGGTCTCCCAGATGAGGCCCAGATCCTGCCTTCTCCTGCCCCTTTCTCCATACAGCAGCTTTCTAGACAGGCTAGGTCTTCTGCTGCTGCCATCTCGTAGCTCAGGGTACCACCCAGGTGATCTCCAAGAGCCAACATTCAGTGTTCTGAGTGTTCCAGGGGAACAGGGAGGCATGCAGATCCCCCCGATCAGAGCACCTCCAGCTCAGGGACTTGGAGAGAGGCCCAGAAGCCACACAGCACCTCGCCAGCCTGGCCTCTGCATTGCGTTTTTAATGTCCTGTAGGTGTTAGGGCTCCCTAGAAGGCACCTAGGAGGGGAAGGAATAGCATGAAGGAAGGAAGAAGGAGGGAGAGCTCCTTCCTGGGACCACGGGTTTCCCCTGGGGGAATCTGCCTTCCTCGTGGCCCCTGGGCCAGGCTGTAAGCCCTGCACTACCCACAGCCACTCCAAGAACTCTGCACGCTGCCTCTTGTCTTGGGAGGAGAGTGAAGGCTCTCAGTGCTCAGACCCTTCCCCATTCTCCCCAATCCAGGTACAACAAGTTTGCAGAGGGAAGCTGGAAAAAAAATGAGTAGTTCTTCAAACTCTCCTATGGTCTGAGTCAAGAAAGTCTTGAGAAAAGGGGTTGAATTCTCTGATTCTGCGAGTCAGTAGATGACACAGTCCTCAACTAGGATCCCGTCTGAACTCTGGCATAGAATGTGTCTCTGTGGCCTCAGACAAGCCCCATACCCTTTTTGGAATACTGGTTTCTTCATAAGTAAATGAACATTTGTAATAAATAGGTATGTGGTTGGGAAGAGGGCTCTTCCCAGCCTTTCAGACCTTAAATTCCCAGCCATTTTTTGAAAGGGCCTGAGAAGAACCATCCAGAAGGCTGAGACAGGAGGATTGCAAGTTGAAGGCCAGCCTCAGCAACTCAGCGAATCCCTAAGCAACTTAGGAAGACCCTGTCGCAAAATAAAAAGGACTAGGAAGGTAGCTCAGTGGTAAAGCACCCCGGGTTCAAGTCCCAGCACCAAAGGGTGTGGGGACGGACTGGGAAAAGAGAACATAGTCACAGGCAGTGGATGAGGAAGAGGCCTCAGAGTGAGCTGGGGGAGAGGGTTGCAGGGTTGGGCACAAAAGAACAGCTCGCAGTCTGGAAAGGGGGCTAAGGACAGTCCCAGCCCAGGGTGGGGCGGGCAGCTGGCAGACAGTGTGGAGTTGCCCAACAGGCCTGTGCTGGGAACAGCTGAGGAAGTTTCTCTGCTCCTCACCCACCCATGCATTTTGCCCCCACCCCCTCCAGGCTTCCAGGCCACTCTCAGGGATCCTCAGTGAGGCAAGAGGGAACCCCTGAAAGCTGGTGACAGGAGAAAGGGCCAGCTCTGGGTTCTGGAATCCTGGCTCTGTGATGCTGGCAGTGTCCCCATCACCCAGTACCTGCAGGTGGTTGGAAACAGAACATGTAGGGCCTGAGCAGTGATCATGCCCATAACAGGCAAGGAGAAAAGCCTTGCCCTCCATGTTGAGAGGTCCTAGGCAGTGTCCTCCACTCCCAAGGGGACACACCTACCCTGCTCTCAAGACCTCAGGCCAGGAAAGGTCCACCTATCACTTGCCAAAGTCTCAGATGGCAAGGTGCAGCCCACTCCTCCCAGCCCCCTACTCCTGTCTCTTCGGTGCTCATCATCCTGAGGTTTGCCTTCCATTGCCAGCATCTCATTAAGAAGCCCTCATCACCGGGTGCAATGGCACACACCTCTAATCCTAGCTGCTCAAGAGGCTGAGACAAGAGGATCACAAGTTCAAAGTCAGCCTCAGCAAAAGCACAAGGCGCTAAGCAACTCAGTGAGACCCTGTCTCTAAATAAAATACAAATTAGGGCTGGGGATGTGGCTCAGTGGTCAAGTGCCCCTAGAGATGTGGCTCATTGTTCAATCCCCAGTACCCCCCAAAAAAAGAACCCTCCATTTCAGTCCCTGCCTTGGACCTTAGGCCTCAGGTTTGCTGGGGATATTGTTGGGAGCAGCATGCAGATCCCTGGGCCGCCCCCCCTCCCATCAGATGATCCCTGTGGCCTCGTTCTCCAGGTCTGCACACCTTTTCCCTGATCCAGCCTAAGTGGGTTAGGTAGCAGCTGGACACATCCTGGATTTAGAGCTTCAGTGTCCCTCAGCCTCCTCAGAAGCCCACGTTGCTGCTCTCTTGGGGCCCTGGCACCTTGGCCACAGGGTACTGTGCCAGAAAGATCCCTCCCTATTCCCAGGAAAGGCACAGGCAGCAGCAGTATGCACAGTCAGGCCACTTAGAGTGAACCCCAGCCTGGCTGCTTCAGATCTATATTGAGCTCTGACCCAGGAAGCAAGGGTTTGATACCATCCAAGAGGCTTCAGGTGGTATATCTTTCACAGAAGGGTGGGAGGAAACAGTTGTAGGGCAGGGCATGGGAGGCCAGCTCCAGACAGTATCTCAGCTATGGGAAGTTGTCCCCTGCCCACATCCTGGTGAGCTTCAGATGCCATCAGACTCTGGCCATTGGTTTCCTGTGCTGAGCCAAGCTCATGGGTGAGGGTGTGTTGGGTGGAGCTCCATTGCAATTCCCTCAAAATGGACTGAACAGCCAGTGTGCGCAGCCTTGGACTGCTAGCCTGGCCAGCCTCACCCCAGAGGTACCGAATTGTAGACACAGCAGCCACCCCTTAGAGCTGGATGGTATCTGGGCACCAGGCTAAGCTCCTAGTTGTCCTGTCTGGAGAAATTCTTATCACCCCAGTGCTCCTATGGCAATTCCCACTTACAGATGAGGAGACATTGAGGTGGGTCCAGGCCTCTCACTCCTGCTCACAGCAGCTGCCTGTACACACACACACACACACACACACACACACCTCTATATCGGGGTCTCATCATGAACTCAGGACCCAGAAACTTTCTGCTTAGCTGTGCAGCCCACAGTCTCTTTATGAGACTTTTAGCCAAGGCCACCAGATCACAGGGCGCCATAGATCTACTTCTGCAAGCCAGTGAGGCCAAAGGAGGCAGCAGCAGAACATTGCACGAGTCACTGCTGGAGGGATGGTTAGGAATGAGACAGGTCCAAAGGGATCCCGTCCCACCTGTAAGCTAAGCACCAGGCTTGAGCAGGGTAGCGGGGCTACTTACCACATTGTACAATCAGGGAGCACTGTGTGCACTGTAGCTATGCAGCCCACAACCCGTGCTGCTGTACAGAACAACAGGAGGGTGGTAGCAACAGCCATCAGCATATCTAGTGGTGAGACCAGCTCTCCTTCCTCAGGGACAAGGAGTAATTGCAGGCCTCAAGGCCCAAAAACTCAAAAACAAATGTCCTGCCAAGTGAGGGCCCATCAGAGACTTCAGTGATCCCAGTTGTCCCCAGCCCTAGCCTTGCCCTAGAGAAAGGGCCAGGCTGTCCTCCCCCTTCTCCCCAGACCCTGTTCCAGGCCCCAGCTGGCTTCCTGGCTGGCTGCTAGCCCTGGCTTTCACCCCAAAGGGAGCCACTCATAAACAGGAAATGCTTCCCCATGCGATGCCTGCTCTGGGCGCCATTGCCAACCCACAGCCTGGGAGTGATATCCAAGTTCCCACCAACTGCAGAGGGGGGTGTGCCTGGGGCTCCCCAGCTTTGGGGGACTGGCTGTTAGAGAGGGGTTACTGGGCAGGGGGCAGATTCCCAGGGGCTGAGCCTCACCAGCCTGCAGCTCTGCCCGTTCTCACTGCCTACCACCAGGAGCCCCCATGTATTGCAGACCCTGATTCAGCCCTCCACTCCTTCTCCTCAGAGACAGTCTGAAGGCAGCCCCCAAGTCCCAGAAATGCAACTCGCCCAGCATCGACTACGCAGAGCTACTGCAGCACTTTGAGAAGGTCCAAAACCAGCATCTGGAAGTGAGGCACCAGCGGAGTGGGCGTGGGGACCACCTGGACCGGAGAGTTGTCCTCTGACACACCTGGCATGGAGAAGAGCCCAACCAGGGGCCTGTGAAGCACTCAGGGTCTTCAGGATACCCTCCCAAGGAGCCTGAGGACCTGCCTCAGGAGCAGGGCTGGGCCTGACCACCAGCCCAAGGCAGGGAGGGGGTGAGGCTGCAGCACCCCAGCTCCTCTCAGTGCTGTCAGCTGCACGCTGGCTTCAGACAGCTGGCTTCCCACCAGGGTAGAGCCACAGCCTCAGAGACCACCCATCCTCTGGAATCCATCTCGGAACTTCTAATACCCCCTTGTGAAAAGAGCTTGACCTCAGCCCCGAGAGCTTTGGTCTCATGTGCCTGTGTATACATACATAAACGTGTGTGTACGTATGCATGTGCACACAGGGGTCGGCACAAAGGTCTCTACTGAATGATGTGCACCCTCCCCACTCCCGCCCCAATAAAGATATGACAGAAACCTTAACTCGAACCTGTCCACTCTTTCCCTGCTGGCACTTGTGCCCCACCTGTTACTGCAGCTGCCCCAGGCCCTCATCTGTCCAGAAGATCTGGTCTCTTACTGGCCCCAGAGTGTGTCTGTACCCCCAGGACTGGGCCTGCACACTCACCTGACCTGAGCTATGTCCTTAGGGCCCAGCTCTCCACTTCTAGGACCCACACCTTTGTGGCCTGCCCTAGAACCCTGAACCCTGCCTTTCTTCATATCCTGATCTGACTTCCATTCTGAGTCCCTTGGGCAATGGAACATGTCCCCATCAGGCCCAAGGGAGCTGAGCCTCAGGGTTTTCTGGATGAAGGGGACTCTGCTGAACACTCTGCAGATCACTGGGGAATGGGAGGAAAGGCCAGAGCACTCCGGGGAAGAGGGACAGGTGCCCCAACACTTAGTTTGGCTGAAAGAACTTCTCCACTCCTGTAGGCCAGGGTTCACCTATCCCCAGGCTTTGGGAAGCCTTGGCTTGTCCTGACCAGCTCCCAAGTGGCTCCTGGAATAGGGGCTTATGCCTGCTCTTCCAGAACCCCAGCCTAGGATACCCCATGAGTGTTTACTTGCCTGGAGTCTCTAGGAAGATAGACTGTACTTGCTGCTACTTATGGCCCACGTACAAATATATGCCTCCCTATGCACTACCCAGGCATCGGGGATCCCCACCAGTGAGGAAGGAGATTGTCCCAGGGCCAGGAGATAGATAATCGCCACCCTTCAAGTCCTGGCCTCGGGCACCCCACCTGGGTGGCATCGATACCGCTTGGAAAAGAAGCCCAATAACTGGAGGGTCTGTCCCAGGAGTGAACCACCCCAAGGCGGGTGGGGGGGCACCCGTGACTCCCTGCGCCCGAGGTGCCAAGTATCCGTCTGGCGGGAGGCAACCTGGGACTCCATCCCGCCATGGTGTTCTTTGAAGACCAAGACCAAAGGCGAAAAGGTGTGGTCTGGGGGCCAAGAACCAACCGCCCATCCACAGCCTTGGGGAGCTGGGCGGGCCCCACCCCAGCGCCGCCCCG